TGATTCCTTTCTAGGAATACGTTGCCTTGACTCACCCTTCTTACGCACCTGGTGTAGGCTCGCGCATCGTAAGTATGGGCATTTCTCTCTCCAAAGCTCTGTCCAAGCATGTGGATGAGCTTTATACTTTAGTCAAGAAGGCAAACTGTTTGCAAAAAATCAACGGAACTACTGTATATCCTCTCTCTCGTAAGTCTATCTTCTCTTTTCTCGCCTATCTTCAGCAACACGTTCCTGCCTATCCTTCTGACGGCTCTCTCCGTCGCTCCACTTGGGAACGTTTGGGCAAATGGATCCATGAACCTCCACGCGCCCCTCCTGATATTATGTGCACATGGCGTGCTATTATGGCTGCCCTTAACACCCTGTATCCTGACTCTACCACCCTACCCGCTCCTTCTCCTTCCAATCTTCCCACCGAAAAAACCCCTCCGTCTTCCCTCTATCCTTCCCTCTTTCCCCCTTCTGCTCCCCCTCCCTACTCTTGTGAGGCTTCCCTTGAGTCGCCTCTTCCTATTTCACCATCATCTCAATTGCCTCCTCCGTCTTTTACTGGAGGAAGTGTTGTTCGCACTCTTCAACACGCTACACGTGAAGGGATTCTGGAAACAGAAGATCTTCCTTCTTCTGCTCTCTTTCCTGTCTCATGGGTTGTTCCGCAAGGCGCAGCTGCTGGCGCCCCAGCGCAACCCGTGTATCAAGCTATCTCTTACAAAGTAATTAAAGATCTTAAAAATGCTGTCCGTGATTATGGGCTTCACTCTCGCTACGTTCATGGCTTGCTTAATTCTTTTTCTACTGATCTTTCTGAATTGCTCTTAGCCGATTGGCAATCACTTTTTGGGATGATTATGACTCCGTCTCAATATGTTATTTGGACTTCTGAATATACTAAACATATTAATGTTACTATTAATGCTGGTCTTCCTGCTAATGTTATTGCTGATGATCTTCATGGCACAGGCACTCGTGCCACTGTTGCTCAACAAGCTGCTTCTGACCGAGCTGCTTTTCCTCTCATAAAAAATGCTGCTCTTAATGCTTTTCGCAAAGTTGACGACGCGCAAAGCGCTCCTTTGCAAACTTTTTCTAGAATAATTCAAGCTACTAATGAAGACTATGCTTCTTTTATCAGTCGCTTGCAACTTACTCTTGAGCGCCAAATTGACAATGAAAATGCTAGAAATGAATTGCTGTTAAAACTGGCTTTTGAAAATGCTAATTCT